GCTGTTGTTTCCGTATTTGCAGAATTGTTCAGCCTAATTTACTGCAGATGCTTGTCCATAGGCTTTGGAGGTGCATTAAGGACTCCCAACTCCAACAGGTGGAGATGGTGAGCAGTCTAACACGTTTCTTTTATTATTATTTTTTAAATCTTTTAAAGTGTTGTTAATGTTCCTTTCTGGCTGCCTCCCATCTTTTATTCATATGGAATAGTCATTACAAGAGCCTTTCACTTCATTGTCTAATAAGTTTTTGTTTGTTTCTCCAAGACAGAATCATAATTAATATTTGGCACACTGCTATCATCTTTGACTCATGATTTATTGATACTGATCAATATTGAAAATGAGTCTGTTAGACTTATCTCTTTGCTCATACTGTGTGTTCATGTGCAAAGCCCAGTGGGACAGTGAGTAACTCAGTGCTTTTATTCCATGACTGTCTGTCTGTTCTGCATCCGATTCTTACTAAATCCAATACCAGTCAATCTGATCAGGTGACTTACATATTGATTGGACTGAATCTGACTTGGTTTGATTTTTTTATGGGACTTGCTGTGGGATAGATTGTAGATATCAGCTGCAGTACATGTACATACCTAAAGTAATAATGAATTAAATGCTTAATTATTAGTTCCAATTAATAGCTGTTTAATAGTAGCAGCATGTCCACATGATGCTTGCCTTTGACCCACCCAACTCCTTCCATTGCTACTTCTTAGACTTCAGTGTGTGTAAAACATTGCTGTCTGCCTATTTGCATACATTAAAATAATTCCAAATCTACCCTCAGCCTCCACAAGTTGTTTTTTATTAAGTACTAGCACAGAATCTGCTTTCAGTATTTGCCTTTATCTTCATCTATACCCCAATTGATCATGCTATCTCTTAGTATTTTTATTCTTCCTAGAAAGAGGACTTGCCATGTTCACAAAGTTTTTCTGATCTTTTCTCCGTTTGAAATTCGTTTTTCTTATTTTTCCTTTTTTTTCACAGCATCAGTGATCCATTCATTTTCAACTTATGTCATAAAGATCATGCTGTGGGAGACCAGGTGTGTTCCCGTTACTTGTATCATGATATAAAAGAGATTCGTCTGATGCGCTTCCTTCTGCAGGTAGGAACTAACATGCATGGTCAATTGAATGAAAGCTGCAGCAGCAGTAATGGCATGTGACTGAAAACTACTTACATAATTTTCACTAATTCTACTGAGATTTCTTTCAGAAAAAAAAAATACACCACCCTCACTGGAGTGGTTAGCCCATTAGTTATTACGCTGATAATGTTCTTTACAGTTCATCTCAATATTTTTGAAAATAAGTCTTGAAGTCCTGTTTTGATTGAAGATCACAGTAAATGTCTATTTTTTCAATAATAGTTCCCATATACCAGTGGATGTGGACATAAGTGGGCTACAAGTATGCATCACTTACTTACCTGAGCCTCTTGGAGTAACTTGTGCATATGAGTCAGTATCTGAATCATAACACAGCTTTTAGCTATGTTACCCAGAAGTTATTCATTAGCAGTGGCTTGGTACCCTTTTAGCTTTGTCTGGTTTAGGTAAGCTTATGACAAGAATCACAGAAGTGCAGCTAGAGCTCCTTGAAACACCAGAGCCTGTATTTTGCTTTAGAGCATCTTGGTACAGCCTAAAGAGTAATTCACAGATTTTGTTTGACAAAAATGCAGTGTTTTGAAACAGCCATAAACAGGAATCTGTTCGTTTAATCCATTTTTGGAAGGTAGTTCAACAGAAAAGTAAGAAATAATTCAGAAAATTGAAAACTGAGAGAATGGTGCTGATGAATGTCTTAAGTCATGCAGTATGGCACTCATCCCCATTTTATTTTATATTTAATTATGTATGCAAAATGGAAAATTCTAGTAGATCAGACCCGATTAAGGGTATGTTATATCTCAGTGGTTAGGTTACTCTCCAAGCATGTACAGGAATGTTAAGTCTTGCTCTGAGTAACTGCACAAAGGTTTTCTTACACCACTGATGAGCAACCAGAGTAACAGAACTGTCACCTCTTTTGTAAATAAATTCAAAGTTGTCAGTAGAATCTTGCTTTCTTCTCTTGTATTTGTATGCCTTTGGACTTTTTAAAACATGTGAAATGGAAATGTTTTGCGGGACTCAGAGTGGAAAAAATTGAGATGAGTAAAAATAGTCATTGATTGAGCCTTGGACAAAAAAAGGGGTGGTGGGAGGGGGACGATATAGGTGGTTCTATGTGTTGTGTTGTTTTTTTTTTCAGTTGTGTTTTGTGTGTGGTTTTATTATTATTTATTTCTATTAATGACCTGAAAATTCAGGTATCTGTAGCACTCTAAAATTCTGGCACCAGGACCCAATGCCAAAAATTGCTCTAAAAAAATAGTATGGAAAAAAGAAGAAAGCTAATATTTGTGCTTTCCCTAGAGGGCAGGTGGATCAGTTGTTTAGGCAGCAGCAAAGCAGCAGAGAGCTGATGTCCTATTCGTGCACATAGGCAAGCAAAGAGCAACACAATGTGAAACCACACAGCCTGATGCTGGAATGGCCACACTTTGAGCAGAGTTGGTTTGGAAAACCAAGCTTCAGACCCAATGCTTCAACCTGTTTATTGTCATAGCAGCTCTCACATTGCCTTTCTGCTTTATACTTAATTTATGAAACATGTATGGACTGTTGCCATTTAGTTATCTTCTCAGGTTTGTATTACGCCTGACACATTTGGCCTGAAACTCACGTGTGGGTTCCCAGACACTACGCATCATCTGTAGTTATACTTGACTGACTTTGGTGGGGCGGAAAAGGGACAGATCACTGAGTAAATTACAGGTTTATATGCAAATGCTCAACAAACTGTGTGAGAGGATGTGGTGGAAAAAGAGGCTGAAGGTTTCAATTTTGATTATTTAAAGCTTCACTAAGAAATGTCAAACTTGCCTTACTCTTCCATTTCTGAACTAAAATTGTTTGGTTACTTCCATCAAGATCATTATTCATTGAGGAAGTAGTACATGTGCTGTTTGAAAGGGGCTCTTATTTAACATCTCCCCTTCATGTGATTGTCTTTCTCAACTGGTTAGAAGTTAATGCTACTAGTGTCTTGTTAATCACACTGAAATTTCAAGACAAAAATGCTTCAGAAGTGGCAGGAGGTCGTGGGTGATAAAAACCAGTATCTGGAGCTTGGTTTTGCTTCGCAGGAGCATTTGCACTTTCAGTCATCCCAGTATGACCACTCCTACAGTTGGAGAAATTGGGGATATTAGACCTATTTTGCTATGCTTCACACTTAATACCAAGTCAAAAACAAACAAACAAAAAAAAAAATTAAGAATTGGGCAGGCCATAGTGGACTCCTTGCAGTACTAGCACTAGCTCTGCGATTCTTCAAACTGTGACTGATTTTACCTTTCCAGGAGATCGCCTTAGAAATATTCTTCAAAAATGGCTACTCCAGATTTCTTGTATTCCATGACAATGACCGAAATAAGATATTTAAGAGGTAATCACTACTTCATAATATCACATGAACACCCAGGTTATAGTCTTTGTCTGTTGCCCCTGTTTATCCCAGCTTCAGATGTCTGCCTTTGTGCTGCCACAAGGGCTCTTTTTTCAGTTTCAGCTCTTGTTCTTTAATGCATTAGACGTAAAGCTATGAAATTTTCCTTTTGCTGACTTGTGAATTCTTTGGAGCATTATACAGCCATTGATTTATCAAGGGGACTAATGCATTTGTAGAGCTCTTGTAGCACCCAATGGTGTGTTGTGGCATATGTCCCTGCATCCCAGGGAATTGCAATCTCACTGAGAGCAGAAATCTGTCTCTGCTTCACTTTACAGTACTGTGGGAAAGTACCGTAAACTTTCTTCCAACACACAAAGCACCATTAGATGCTTTAAGAATAAACTGATTTTGTATCAGTATTTTGTAGTCTGACTCTGACTTTGTATCCTTAGTGTGGTGTTAAATTTTAACAATAGGATTTTTTATAGGAAAGACTTTTTTTTTCCTTACGTGCTTTTTTTTTGATGGGCAATTACATTAGATTCACTTACTGTTCTTTATGCAGGAAAAATACCTCAATATGTAGTATTTCCTTAGAAATACTTAGAATCTTTAGAATATGTAGAATTGGTAAATTCTGCAGCCTGGACTGATTACTGTTAGTTTCCAAGCAATCATAGAATTTCCTTGTGCTCCTGAAATCACTGAACAGTTTCTAATGGAGCATTGCTTAAAACGCCAATGCAGATTTATCCACTTTTCCTTTCTAAACTGGCTGCATAGTGTGGCTACTTGGAATTACCAGATCCTGCTCCAGAGCTAGCTGCTTTGTTCAGTGCTTATCTTTGCTGTCTCTTGGCTCTGAGATGCATTTCCTGAGGTTGTCTTGCTGAGGCAGTTCAGGATAATGTTTTCATCCTCAGCTGACTGTCTTGCCCCTTGGCTGCAGGTACCAAACCTATGTATCTCAGGGGTTTTATGTCTGATATAATAAGTTCCCAGTGAAGGTAAACATGAATGACTGAGACATGAGTTGGTATTCCTTTCTGTCTTTTTTGCCAAGAGGCTGGTAAATGTCTGAGAGGGTTCTCTTTCTCTGGGTTTAATTAATACCATCTTAAACAACCTGATCATAAGGTATAGCCCTGTATATCAATTCAAGGCCCTATCTAGGAGACAAACTTTTTATCCAGCCTATAGGCACTTTCTTAACATTACATATATGCTTTTCCTGTATTGTCTCACAGCTGGGTAGGTGAAACACTGTGACATCCTTTAGGAGGAAAGTTGCTGTTAAAATATGACATTATTTAATAGATTATATGCATATATAATTGTATGTACATATGTAATGTGTAAAGGTAACTGTTTAAATGATTGTAATGTTATCTTTTGTATCTCTGTAGATTTTGCTCTTTCCAACCTGCTTTGAAGTCAAAGGGGGTAACAGAAGACTCCTTGAATATAAGGTAAATACAGGGAACACTGGATAACAGTAGATAACAAATGCAACTGTGTGAATAAGTCATACCTTAAAAAAATGCATCTAGAAACTTAGCTGTTTGTGCCCCCTATTTTAAAGATTCAAATGTGTCCCCTGAATTCTGAAAAGCATTCCAGTGTACAGCATCCATAATATGAAGGCAAGAGGAATGTGCTAAGTAGCTGACTGGGCATATTTAATAATTATTACCTCCTTAATATGACTTTATTGGTAAAGTCTACACAGATGGTTACTGTGGGAAAGAGAGTCAGTGTGGTGAGGTTAGAGAGGTAATCCATAATGTTTCTGCATAATGGCCTCTTTATTGCACGTTTAGAGCAGACAGTGACTGATGTGCACACAGACGTTTTGGCATGTTACAGTAATTGTGCAGTGGAGATTCCAATTTGATGTCCCTCTGTTTTACCACTGCAGGAAAAGAAAGCTTTCTTCCAGTGGGAGGTGACAGAGCATGTTCTGTGCTGACCTTCAGTTACTTAGTTTTAGAGACTATTAGGATCTGCTTCTAAAGCTGAGTATCTTTAAATGAAGAGAACTGCAAAAAAAAGGGAGGTGGACAGCTTTTTTTATTAGTTTTCACCACATTGTATGGGATGTGGCCTGTGGAGTGCTTGGTAGATTTCAGGGATCTTCACCTTTTAATCTCCATTGCTCTTGGTTATCCTTTGCAGTGGAATTGGGAGTAAGGAGTAAAGGGAAGCTGAGCTTCTTTGAGGGGCTGGGTATTATGTTCTTTAACTTGTTCATCTTGTCTTTCTCACCCTGACATGTCTTCAGGCAGGAACAGCACAGGTCTTTCTCTTGTACTAGGTAAAGCGTTTCTATGCGTTTGATGGGGTCGACAAACTCTTCTTTTTCTACTGAATCAGGGAAAGGGTTTCTTTCTGCATTCAGTTTATTGAGCTTGGGGAGCTTTTTCACACTGTTTGGGATGGTGGTCAATAAGTTGTCAAAGAGACCTAATTCCTTAAGTTCCTGCAGGGCCCCAAGGTTGCTGGGGATGCATTCAAGACAGTTCAAGCCAAGGTTGAGAAAACGCAGGTTCTTGAGAAGGTGCAACTCCTCTGGCAGACTTTTAGTTGTCAGCTTGTTATTGCAAATATTCAGGTAGAAAAGGTTCTGTAGTGTACCTATTGTCTTGGGCAGCTCTTCGAGCTGATTACTGTGCAGGTCCAGCCAGCGCAGTTTCTGGAACTTCTCAATGCTGTTTGGGATCTTTTTAAGCATGTTTCTGCTCAAATCAAGTTCATCCACATCAGCCAGTTTCAGAATGCATTTGGGAAAGGTGGTGATACCCATCTTGCTTAAGTCAAGACGGCGCCCTCCGTCATAAGAGATTCTGATGGAATTTTTAGCAATTTTCAAGGTAATTTTTTTCCCTTTTGGTTCCTTTGCTTTCCCCTTGGCCATATCTCTTCAGAGAGAGGAGAAACACACCAGAATCTGGATGAAGTGTGGGAATTCCAGCAAAGCCTTTGAAAGCAGTGGCAGTTACTTCCTAATTAAAAACAAAATAATGAGTTAGTCATGAATTAGCATGTGACCAAAAGTCTCTTCAGAAGTTTTTTTGTTGTTGTTTTTGTTTTTTTGTTTGTTTGTTTTTATTAAGGGTCAGGACTTTTCAGTCCCAGGGCTGCAGCTCTGAAAGGTTTTCCTGAAAGAAGTATTTTGAGTAGGTAAAAGTCTAATTATTAAAAATGCACTATACAGCAATATAAGTATTACAAGATGAAATTGGAAATATAAGTGGGAGAAACTTGCTGTCTTTCATCCCTAGCTACAGGTTTGAGCCCAGCATGTAATGAAACTGAACAAAATGTGTTGTTACCCATTCACTGTTTGAGGACCTGGCTGAAATGTATGGGTCTCAATTCAGTCCTTGAGGACTGCATTAAAAGAAGCCATCCAAAATAGTGCTTATTCTACCAGACCAATGGGTTGCCTTCTTTTCAGGCCTGGCATCTGAGGATAGGTTTGGTAAATGTCCTATTTAGTGGACCTGAGACTTGAAAAATGAAATGTTTAAAGTGAATGATTAAAAGTAGTTTGTTTTTTGTTTGTTTGTTTGTTTTGTTTTTTATGCAACTGGGATCTTGGAAACCTAGTGGGCTCCCAGGTTTTGCTTGCAGTTCACACATTTTCTACAGGGCAGACTGAACAGGGAGGGGGCAGTCAGTGTTTGTGCTGCTTAATGATATGTTAAACCAGACCTCAGTCAGTGTCTCTGTACTCCTAAGAACAGACTGTGGATATTCTAACCTTGTCTTGCTACACATGCAGTGGGATAGATGGACTCACATGGTGGGGGTGCCCTGCCCTTAAAAAATATATGTAGGTGTTCTGGTCAGAATTCTGGTTATTACTGATGCTAAGCACATGCTATGTGCTTTGAATTGAGGCCTGCATGAGTAGTAGTCCACTGTAGTCTTATGGTTGGTGACCTGTCTGTATACTTGAAGGTCATCAAATATAGCCAATAGTTAGAGCTAGTGACAGAAGATCCCCTAGAAATGGATGACAATGTCCCTATCAGCCAGAGAGCTGAGAGGAGCATGGGTTAAACTGGCTAATCACAGGGATGGTCTTGGTGCTCTGACATTTAGTTGTGAAGAGACAAATCACAGCTTTGATGAATGATTGCAACAAAATATGGATTTGTCTACAGTACATTTCCATTTTATAAAGACTTCATTACAAACCCTTCAGGCTTTTTGGCTACTCATTAATCATGTGCAAATACATGATGGGGAAGCTGAGGCTACAACTATGGCATTCAGCTCCTTTCAATTACATGCCATAGCCAAAAATGATGCAAAAACAAGTGAGATCTCTGCCAGTTACTATCTGTCCTCCTGGGAGCTCTGTAATGAGGCAAGTGCTTCTAGAAGCAGCACAGTGGGGTCAGTCTTGCCTTGAGGGTATATTCCAAAATTGAATCTTTCTGTTATTTATTTATAAAAGGACTTAAACACAGTTAAATCTTTCACACCCACATTTCTGTCTCTCACCAGTAATTACGGGGTTATATTACTGTTATATCTCAAGGCCTCTCACCTTTTGCTATATTTAATCTTACTCGGCTATATTTAAGCTTACTGGGCTCCAAGGGCAGTGTCTATGCTACTTCTTCCATTGAAGAATGGGGACTGAGGCACAGAAATACTCTACTATGGAAAATTATGCACTTCTCCATCTTTGTGGATGTTAGCTTAAATAATTTGACCAGGATTGTGCAGGAAGTTCTGGAGACCAAAACAATAGGTTGTTTTAATCACAATTCTCATATTTTAAGGAGTTGATGGAAAAAGATCTTCAGGTCAACTGCATTAAGCTTTGGCAGGAAATACATATTTTTTTCTAAATTCAATATAATAATCTCTTAAAATGTTTTTTAAAACATCTTTAAAACTCTCAGAAAACATTTTGTTCAGTTTCTAGTGATTTTTTTTTTTGTAACTTTTCATTGAAAATCCAGAGGAAGGGGATGGGAGGAGTGCTCTGCTTTGATCCTAAACAGTTTCATTTACATAGATAAATAAATTCAGCCTTTTGCGCAGCTCTCTTAATGCTGGTTCCCAGTCCTGATATTACTCTGTACCGTGTGTACCTGTGAACACTAGAGGGAGCCTGGTGCAGAAGGTTGAATGCTGAAGGTAGGAGGCTGGTAAGAAGTAGCAGTACAATTTAACCTTTTGGGTACTTCTCTATTAATGACCCTTTGCTGACTTGTTATAAAATTTGAACCTAGGCCCTTCAGACTCTTAGAAGTCCAGAGAGGTTATTAATTTTCCTGAAGACAGATCACTTAATATGATGCATAGCGTAATGCCCCAGACTTTAAAATGATTTAACTACTTGGGTCATGCCTCTTTGAGTTGGATTTTTAAAAATCCTACCTTGGACCTCTAAGATGCACTGACCAGGAAAACATATGTCCCTTCACTGTGCTGACGCTTTCCAAAGGCTATTTCCTTTGGGTTAAAAGTAGTGTTCAGGTTTCAAATGTATTAAAAAATATATATATATTTTCAGTCCTGGAGACAGGGATTAGCATTAGAGTTCTGCAGAAACACTGCACAGCACCAGACAGCTTGAAGGGTATGAATAGCTCTCTTGTCTCTGCATGCTTGTAAACTAATTATCAGTGTTTCGCAGGGCTGTCGCTGGAGATAATGGAGCTTACTTAGCCGTGTCTCATTTTCTTTAGCTCCGCATAAGAAGGCTCCAGTTCTGTAGCCACTGGTATTAAAAATTCAGGAATTGCAGGAGCCCTCCTTGCTGTAAATTTTAATTATGCCTGTTCAGTCTCATGCTCACAGTGCATCTCCGGTGCTAGCAGAGGGAAAGGTACATGTGTGACCCACTGCCTAAGAAATGGTGGTGCCAAGAGGAAACTCTACTTGTAGTTTTCTCTAGATACTGACACTCTGAGCTGCTGGCAGGCTTTTGTCCAAGGATGAGGGTGCTGCATTTCTAGGTTGATAAGGTCTTGGTAAAGAAGATCTTGACTGAGAAACTCTTTCCCTTTATATCCATACCTGGCAAAGTCTTTAGTCTGGACTGGACTTTTAAAAGCCTAGAGCTTTAGGAATGTTTCACAGGTCCAGAGCTTTGAGGCTGACCTGATAGAGAAACTACAAGAAAATCCATGTCTATTGTATCACACTGCCTGTGGTGCTTTGTGTTGCTGGGAACAGACCTTGATCATCAGGACTAGGGCTGTGAGGCAAGAAAGGCTTGCACAGGGCCCTGCCATGACCCACTGTAGCTTAGGCCTGCCATAAGAAGGAGACCCAATGCTGGAAAAATACAGATTAGGACCCTAGTGCACAATCTTCCGCCGGAACCTTTCTCTTTCCTTTCTCAGCCTAGTGCTGGCAGAAGAGACAGGCCTTCTATCCCTGACACTGGGTGTTTCAAGATCTCCTCTGTGGTTCTCCCTGTTCTTTTCCTCCCCTAGGTTGCTGCTTCCTACTTCATTGTGCCCAAAGCTATACAGAAACATCCTGATCCCTTCTTAAACCAGCCTGTAAAGAAAGTTTTCTCTCTCTCCCTCTCCCTTCACTCTGGAAGGCTACGTGTTGCAGAGTGGGCTTGCCTGGTCCAGCGGCACCACTCTGTGATCAGGAGGTCAGCAAGGTGACATGTTCCAGCTCTATGGAGGTACTTCCGTGTACAGCTTAAAACCCACGTTCATACAGTGAATAATTTTGCATGAAGCCAAGCGGTTCCAAACTGGGGAGGATTTTATTTCCTTGCTTACAAGCCTGTTACCACTTCTTTGTTGTTGGATACGACCTGTTGTGGAAGAGAGATTAATTCACTGACTATCTTAGATGTAGTATCTTGCTAACAGGCTGTGTTAGACTAAATCCTACCATGAACAAATAGATACTTTCTTTAATTTTATTACTTTTCTAGATGACTTCAGAGCCACTGTGCTATCACACAGTGCAAGGTCACTTATAAAACCAGTGCCCACCAAGGATAAACAAAAATATTCTTATCTCAGCAATTCTGTCAGGCTGCCCCCCTGCACAAGGTCTTACCGGCTAGCAGCTAGGAGGACTTTAAAAGCCAGGGTACAGATGTCACAAGCTGATAGTTTTTTTCAGTAGTGTGGGATGAGCCTTCATGGTCTGTTACCGTGTAGTTGTCCTCTGGTCTGCTCTTCCTTGAGTAATGAGTTAGTCTTTCAGCTCGTAAAACAGGAGTGTGCAGGACAATTTCCTTTTCAGAGGCCTGTAAATGCTGAATCGTACTTCCTTGAAGGAAAATGGCAGCCCTTCAAGGAACTGTTGTGTATGTGAGTGTTGAGGGGAAGAGGGTGGTAAAACGGACTTCCCCAGCTACAGCGCCTCTATTCAGTTCTCTGTCCACAGCCTGTGAAACTTTTGTTCCTAAGCAACAGCAGTGCCAGGTCCTTGGAGATCATTAGCATAATGTTTGGTTCCAGCACGCAAGTTCAAGCTGGAGGGAAAAAAGCTGAACTGCATGTAGTGCCTGGAAATGTTAGATTTCAAATTATGCAGAAACAAAAAGCATCTGGACCTGGTTAGAGGCTGTTCATCAGCTTGTTGCCTTAACTGTCCATTTTAGTCATTTGGCTATTTCATTTTACTTGGCTGTAGCACAGTGTGAAATGCCTGCACGTTTATGTTTGAACTCACAATGTTTGTGATACCATCCTTAGGACATGCCAGACTGGATAGATACAAACTAGGAGGATGTTAGTTCAGCAGTGCAGCAGAAAGGCTATGAGCTGCAGTTTATGTTTGTCTATCTGTGACCCTTCAAAAGTGCAGCTGTTGCAACAATTTCCTCTTGTGCCATGTGAATTTACTAGATTTTGTCTCTGTAGCTGCAGCTACCAAGCTCTTGCTTTTAGTAACTGGTCGCAATACTTCCAAAATATCTAGAGAAAAAGAATTATTGAAGGGAAATGGGCTTGTGTACCACCTATTGCCAAGAAGTACACAGAAATGATTTATTTACTCAGTGTCCTACAGAAATGCCTATTGTTTTCAACTGTAGAGAAGAAATTGTGTGGTCCTACTGTAATATCTCTGTTTTTATAGCACAGAGCAAGAATACTCAGAAGGTAAACTGGTACAATCAGATAAAAAGGACCCCGCACCTTTGATCAAAAGTAAACTAACCCAACACTGAGATTTGAGAGACTGGATTGCTTCACAGGGAAAGATGGTGTTAGAATAGAATAGTTTTGTTGGAAGCGACCTACAGAGATCATCAGTCCAACTGACAGGCCACTAAAGGGCTAGCTAAAAGTTAATGATGTTACTAAGAGCACTATCCAAATGCCTCTCAAACACTGACAGGCATGGGGCATCAACCACCTTACTTGGAAGCCTATTCCAGTGTTTGTCAACCCTCCCAGTAAAGAAATATTTCTTAATATCCAGTCCCTGTTAACCTCTTTGTAATTAACTTTGTTTAATAATAAGGCTTGGACCTAAAATGTGGTTTACCGTGAAGGAGATTTTCTCATAATATTTTTCCTAATTGCAGACATTCTTTAAGGAAGGTGGGTTTTAGGAGAGCCTGGGCACTGGGCACTGTTTTGTAGACTTCAGAAGTCTGGAAGATGGAAGACAAAAAGAAAATGAAAGTAGCATTGGGAAATCTAAGAACCCGATGAAGTTTATTGGAATTTTAGTTTTAATTTCTGTGGGGGCAAAATCTTATTCTTTGAGATTATTTTATCCTTTGAGATTGTTTCCTCTGCAGTGAATCTCCAAATGGGTTGAGGTTCACCTGTTTCTAGCAAATGGAGGGCGCTTGCTATCACAGGAGTGAGATCATAGTCTGATGTTAATGGAAAAAAGGGATTAATAAATCACTTATGCATACTGTAACCAATGGTTGTCATTAGTACATATGCTTATATTGTGCTATGGCTAGTAACCTACAAATACCTTATAGATTTACATATGAGGGTACTCCTGTTAGATATGCGGGTACTTCTGTTGGTTCACATAACTTCACTTTCTCTTGAAGTTTAGTTATTTACATTTAGGAAGCACTTTTCCTATTTCTTTTTCAAACCAGACTTCTGTTTATTTATTTCTAAATGCACTTACCATGATTGGATAGCTGTTGTGGTTGGATAGCTGTTGATCTACTTTGTGCTTTTGCTGAGCTTCACCTAATGTAATTAATGGATCGGACCACTGGGAGTTGACAAAGATCTTGGGACTTGGAGCGGGGAGCATCTTGTCTGGACCCCTGAGACTCAGAAGGGTGCCTCTTTCAGGGAGGATGACTACACTTAGCCTTGTATGTTTTCATGAGGTGTTGAACACATCAGCCTCTCTGTTATATAGAAGCTTCCACTGAGAGAGGTTTGTTTTGGCTCTTGCAGAATCCTTATTATTGGGTTAGGGCGTGTGACAAACTAAAATAATGGTTCAGGAGGGGTTGTTTACAAGCACTTAACTACTGCACTTTCAATAAAACTGTAATGATCATAGACCATGATGCTGTTTTATTTAGGTCTTTGAGGCTGCTTTAAGACTAGCTTTGTAAACTTCTAGTGTGATCCAGTACAGAGCACAAGAATGCAAAATAACAGCTAGTTATTCCTGTAGCAGTTTTATAATCTATGGCTAAACTGATTCCTTTAAGCTTCAGGAAGTTAGTAACTTCATCTGTGAACTGACACCTCAGGGTTAGTGTAGAGCTATATACTCAAAGGGAAAAGCAACTTCTGCCACCAGTTATGTTACGTCATGTCATTAACCCTGTTTACTTTGGCAGGTCAAAAATTTCTTTAATCCAGAAGCTGTTAGTTGACTGAGTTTGGTCTCTTACAGTAGACATGAGCAAATTCGTTGTCTTCAGATACTGACATACCTGGTTTAGCGTAGTTGAAATGTTACTTCTGTTTGCATAGAACTTTGACTCTTTCACCTTTTCAAGTGAATTTCTCTGTTTAGTATCTCCTTTTGGCTGGTTTGTTTTTATTTAAAGTTTCAGTAAAAGTTGCTCTGTATTTTGAGAACAAAGAAAGTGCAGGGAAAAAAAAACTATTTACTCCTGTTTTGTTTTGTTTTGATTTTTAAAAATAAAAGACTCCACCCTACTTTATCAGAACTACATTTGTTTAAAAGTGCTTTATGCACAAAGAATATCTTTCATATGGAGACTTGAAAACCTTTGTTTTCAAGCCAGTGTTTTCAAAAAGCATCAGAAAAATAAGAACTTTCAAGAATAAGTCTTCAGAATATAGACAGTCTTAATGGTACCTGTCACTAATACGCTAGCTCTGCAGTAGGATGTGAATGAGAGCACTGAGCATTTAGCAGAATGGCTTGTCTCAGAACAGCTGAGAAGGTTACTGTCCTCCACTGTCCCTCTGCCTCTGCTGCAGGGTTGCCTTCTCTCCCTTTTAGTCAGCTTGTAAATTTTTTTAGCTTACTATGTGGCATCACTGCCACCATTTGCAGTGATATCTTAAGGCAAACAGAATTCATCTTCCACACCACCACCCTAATTTCTCATTTTTTTTTCCCTATTAAATATCATACTTCAGGTGGTGCTTCATTCAGGAGCAGGCTGGAAAGTAGCTTAGCCCCCCTTGTATAGGTAGGGAGGGGGACTGCCAGTGACAATCTCATCAGTCATCTGAAGCTGGCCAGCCATGTTCTGGCCAGACAGAACCTTGCCACCTACTGAAAGCAGTAATGAAACTTTGATCCTGCAGCACTAACCTATTGACACTCTCTGATTTTGGAATGATTTGGTCAATGCTGAAACCTCAATATTCCTTAGTGTCGGTGTCCTCTTGTTTCCATGGGATGACAGTAGGGGCTCAGGGAGCACAAGCATTAATGTATTGATTTTCTCTTATTGTTCTGAAGCAATTATTTCAATCAATGTCTGTTCCATACAGGAAACACTCAGGAGGGGAAAAGACAATGCTCCAAAAGTGGCAGGTAAACTAAATCTTGGCTCCATGTGGTTAAGCAAAGAATTTCATCACCTGTGTCCACCCACAATTATATATATGTCTGTGTGTGCATGCATGCCTGCACTTCCAGGCATAAGCTGCTCACTGCTGGAGGTGAGGTTATTGGCAAGAGGAGCAGAGAATTTACATCTGGTTATTGCAGAGATTTTGTTCCTACTGTGAAACATACGGTGTGACTGGCAGATTAAGTGTGATTTTACACACATTTTAAAGCAGAAACCAAAGAGAGCTACCTAGTCAAATGATTATTCACAGATCTGTACATCTAAATCAATGCACCTCTCTTGATTTCATAGATTTTATACTGAGCTGAGAGATGCATTCGCTCTCCTCTACCCCTGATCTTGGTGGCCCAAGACGCGCTGAAGAAATCTATACCCTCTTGTTTGTATGTAGCACTTTGTGCAGCTTTTCTGTACAGGCAGTTGTCCAGGATTTGCCAGTGTACAGATTGCATGCATTTGGCTCTTTTAAATTGGGAAAAAGTTCTCTGTTATGCAAATGCAGCATAAAAGCACTGGGTGATTATAGATGAATGCAAATGGCCTGTCTGAAGAAGAGCCAGAAAGAAGACTCAGATTCTGTTGAATGGACTGTTGTATAAGAGCTGTTGTGCTGATCTGAATGGCAGTGGGTGATTGATTACACTATTTATAATTTTTGTCCTGGTGGACAAAGGAACCACAGAGCTCTGAGGCTGCTTTTGAGGCATGTTTTTCATGGCTGGAGTTAGGAGATTTTAATGTCTGTTTCCTTTCCCTGGCAGAAGAGGGAGATCAGCAACTTTGATTATCTCATGTACCTGAACACACTTGCTGGCCGCAGCTACAACGATTACATGCAGTATCCTGTGTTTCCATGGGTCCTTGCTGACTATCACTCCCAGGTCAGTGCATGCCGCGTAACTGCATCCTGTACTTTCTGTGATAGCAACCATGTAAAGGTTTGTTTTGTGATGCCACTGAAGCAAAAGGGCCTAAACCAAGGGTTCAAAATTTGAGACAGTTACGTTGAACTGTACTGATTCTTTTGTTGAATTGTGTTAATTCTTTATAGATTAGTGTTCTCTTCAAGTCAGCATGCTGAGGTGAGGTTCTGCCTTGGTAAGGTGAATAAGCATCTGTCAAATGCATACCTAAGGAATAAGAAAAGATTGCACTGGCTTAGCAGGTAGGCAGGGCCAGGTCTGTAACCTCTTGGCAACGAGGTTTGGACAGAAAAGTCCTTGAGAACAATCCTTGCAGTCATTGAAAGCAGTCCTTGAGACCTTCCAGGTCCTTTATTCAGGATCTACCACGTCCTTTACTTATGAAGCACCTTGTACATGCTGTCCTTTCAGAGGAACATGTTGCCATTCTGTTTCCAAGTCCCTTCCCAGTTCTGAGGATGACTATTTCTGTACTGAGTCTGTGGCAGCCTTGTATATGTGAAGCTTTGAATACAACTTTACCACTGACCAATGACACAGAGTTGGTCATAATGCCTGAGTCTGCATTCTAAAAATTCCTATCTTTGCTGTTTTTGCTTTTCAGACTCTGAACCTTAGTAATCCTCATACGTTTCGGGACCTGTCGAAGCCCATGGGAGCACAGACTACGGAGAGGAAACAGAAGTTCATCCAGCGCTACAACGAGGTGGAGAAGAGTGAAGGTGAAGGTTTTAGGAACCTAGCAGGCAGTATAGGCTTTAAGTCTCCTCAGGCCTTTGGGGATACTGTTGAATCCCTTGGAAAAGACACACAAAGTCTTTCCACAGCTGTAGCTAAGGGAAGCACAATGCCAGGAAGATCCTCTTGCTTTCAGTTTCAAAGTGGTTGAAGATTGAAAGAGAAATGACTCTCTTGCATGCATTTCCTCCTTCTGTGCCTTCTACTGCTGTGTTCTCTCCTCTTCACTTGGGCAGGAAGAGATGCAACAGCAAAAAGCAATGTTCCTCAGAAAAGGCTGTTCTTGTAGGTAAGGTGCATGCAGCAGTCTTTGTTAGCCAAACTGTGTGTAGAAGACTGCTGCATGCAGTTTGGCTAGGAGCTACATTAAGAAAAGGAAACAGCATTGAGCTGTTTGACCTCTAGATATCAAGACTTTTTTATTACTAATGGGCAAGAGGATGGTCTGGCAAGATAAAGGTCTTCTTCCCTTCCACATTAATTTTCTGAAAAATAAAAAAGAATATACAGATGTGGTAGTAACTGCACATTCAATGCAGATATGAAAGGTGTGTTTTTGCACGTCTTTGAACGTCTGCCTTAAAGACTTATTGTGCTGTGCTAACTAGATGTTATGAAATTGAGATGGTGGAATTTAGCACTGAAATCTGATTTGTGTCAAATTTCCAGGAGACCTGTCAGCTCAGTGTCATTACTGTACGCACTATTCATCAGCAATTATAGTGGCATCTTACCTGGTGCGACTGGAGCCATTTACACAAACCTTCTGTTCTCTGCAGGTAAGGGGACAAGATTGCTTCCCTCCTACACCTCGTTATGGAGCCCACTGCATTGGCTGTGCAGTGAAGAGGGATTCATTCTCTTGACATTTTTTGTATGCTCTCTGTGGACTTTGGGCTAACTGAAGGCTCTATGTTGTGTCTGTTGATTTCAGCAGAAAGTTTTAATAGGAGTGGAACTGATGTCTGATTATTTTATTTTATTTTATTTTATTTTATTTTATTTTATTTTATTTTATTTTATTTTATTTTATTTTATTTTATTTTATTTTATTTTATTTTATTTTATTTTATTTTATTTTATTTTATTTTATTTTATTTTATTTTATTTTATTTTATTTTATTTTATTTTATTTTATTTTATTTTATTTTTCCCTGAGGAAGAGGGACTATTTAGTTTTGGTTCTATGGTGCTTTTTGTGAGAGCTGAGCATGTGAACACCAAGATAATGTTTTACTGCCACTCTGAGTGTTAGCTTCTGACTTTGGGGCAGATGCGCTTAGAATATCTGCTATTGAATTCTCAAGAGCTCATGCAGTAATGTGCCTATTGGCAAGCTCTTGGAGATGACT